TTTTGCCAAAAACTGGCCCTTTACTTCTGGTTTTCTTAAAAAACCACCCATAGTGAACAATGGGTTCATTAAATGACTAACAGCTGCAAAAAAAGGTTGTAAAATTGGCTTTATGATTGCCATAAATTAGGATCGAATTTGTGGGCTCAATTAAGGTCACAAGTCAAGAATTGCCTATATTTTACAGTATATGTTATCAACAGCTATCTCACCTAAAATCTTCTTTCCATAAAATAGGGTGCCCTTTGCATGATTAAGGGTTATGTGTATCTCAGGATATTCTGTATTTGTATTATAGAAAGAGTCTATTCTCTCTTATACGTTCTGCTGCTTTTTTTTTTTGTTATTGAAAGCTGGCTTTATTAACTTTATAGAGAAATATTAGTTGCTATTACTGTGGAGATGTATTGCCTCGTTTTCAGCAACCAAATAGAACCAGCACTCTTGTCATCATTTTCTTTTTAATGCCAGCATGAAATATAGATTAGCAAAAAGCTGTATAACTGGAGTCTGCAGCCTCAACTGAGACTGGAGAATTTTAAGCAATTCAAGTCTGTGATGCCTTATTCCAGCTGGTATGGACTGTTTACATTTCAGGAAACATTGTTTTGTTGTCTGAGAGATGATCATGCTCATTAAAATACAACCTTACTAGAAATTCTAGATTAGCTTTCCCAGCCATGCATTTGACTTGTAACTGAATGATGACACCAGGACAATCTTCACATAACTGCTTGTGCTCCTGATTGGTGCCCCCTCGTCTACTTTTCCGAACCTTTTGAGAGCTCCAGATACATTATGAGCATTAGAAACACATTATCTTTAAACAACCAAATCTTAGGTACATTTATTGTACCATTTAACCCATAATTAGGAAGATTAAATCAGGAAGATTAAAGGTACCATCCCTAAACATAATTTATGCCCATAATGTTACGAGTGAAGTTCGGATACAACCACCTCAACTGAATCATGGCATAGATTCTTCTGGAAAATATTTAACCCAGAATAGTAACTTTATTGAGCCATATTGAGCTGATCTAAGTGGAGCGGAGTGTCAACTCATGAAGCTTTCCTGACCTGTTCCTGAGTTGCCATAGGCTGGATGATGGGAAATCGCGCCTCGCAGCTGCACCAAGGAATCCACACTTCAGTCAAAACAAAACACAGCCTAGCCAGCCGAAGTCAAGGCCACCTCCACGGAGACCTACAATGGCTGGAGCAGGGGTGAAATCCAGCAGGTTCTGAAAGGTTCTGGAGAACCGGTAGCAGAAATTTTGAGCAGTTCGGAGAACTGGCAAATACCACCTGGCTGGCCCCAGAGTGGGGTGGGAATGGGAATTTTGCAGTATCCTTCCCCTGGAATGAGGTGGGAATGGAGATTTTGCAGTATCCTTCCCCTGGAGTGGGGTGGGAATGGCGATTTTGCAATATCCTTTCTCTGCCATGCCCACCAAGCCACACCCACCAAGCCACACCACGCCCACCAAGCCATGCCCACAGAACTGATAGTAAGAAAATTTGGATTTCACCACTGGGCTGGAGGGAATGACTTCTACAACCTGTGAAATTGCTTTGTTGGGGAATGTGACTGGTGACACACTTTTGGGGGAGGGGGAAACAGATTCAGAGGCAAGGCGCAAACTGGGTGAAGTCAGAGCTGGCTTCACCTAGGTCGTGCCAACATGGCGCTCCTAATAAACAACTGAATTTTTCTTGCTAAGTGGCTTGAGACTCTTAATTTTATTAGGCCGTTGGTTGGAACCCTGACATGGAGATTATTTCCAAATATGTTTAGTAGCACATTTGGCTAGATGAATGGGCAAGACTTATTCACAGTAGCTGGTGGTAATTGTGTATTACTATTTTTTAAAAAAAAAATGTCTCAGGAAAGATTTGGAAGGATTGTTGGATATCTTCCTACTATTGTGAGGAAAGACAGTCCAGGGAGTTATTTTTCTCGATATGCACTAAAAATCTAGTTTCAGTTATACTTTTTTCAGATATGCAAATATTGGAAATAATGACAGCAACAAACTTCTTTTTACCAGCTTAGAAAGATATTTGGAGACACGTGTCTGGTTTATACTGTAAAGGGAAGAATAATCAGAAAATCAGCACAATTGATGCTAGATCAATATATTGTAATCAATTCAGTACAATGGCATGGTTTTAAACCTATGGGTAGAAAATGTAGCATTTTCTTGAAGTAGAAGGAGTATTCAGACAAAAGAAAAAGCAAGTGTAGGTTTCTATTGCTTTTCTTATTTAATATTATAGATTGTTTATTCTGTAAAAGTAACAAAGACTTTTTTTCCCTGAGGTTTTGTAAAATAGAGCCAATATATAAAATAGCCTAAGTTGTGGTCACAGAAGAATTTGTTTTAGCTCGCTGAAAAAGTCAGCCCAATTGCAAACACACAAAAAACCATAAATAAACAAGCAAGCAAGCCAAACCATCTGATTAGGGGATACTGAAGAATCCATCCAAAACTCATCTGCTTTTCTTTAATTCTCAAGGAAGAAAATGTTTGGCATGAATGCATGGTCAGGAGGCTGCAATTCAGAAGAATCCAAAATTTTGTACCAGGAGTACAAAATACAGCAGTTAGATGAGAACTAACATCTTTGGGAAATTATATGACTCTAATCCAAAAGGAATTAAATTTCCTAACCTAAATCATGGAGGAATCTTGATCCTTTTTGTACGTGCTTTTTGTTTGCTTCATGGAGCCTATTTCTGCTGGCACTGAGTTTCTTTACAACTCTAAGTCTCTTCTTTGTTTAGACCTGCTTTGAGATCCATTGCTGAGCTTGGTGGTAAATATTAAGGGCTAGATATATATTGATAAATAAACCAGAAGCATCACTGATGGAAAAATTACACACTGGCAGCTACCTTTACCTGTGAGCCCACAAGAGGGACGTTTTTGTTATATCTCTCTAAATTGTATCTATTTTCATCTTCATATATTTACATGCATTTACTCTCATTTGTACTTGATACCTTATGGGTCCTCCAGGTTTGATACAGTTCTTGTTTGCCAATATACTGAATGTTATATAGCACAAAATGAGATGGGAAAGGATCCGGACATGAGATTATGAACACCTCACCTGAGCCTAATTTCTGTCCGTTTCTGTTTGCAGCTGCAAATTTATGCAAAGTTGTAACAATATGCCAGCACTGATTTGAGGCATAATATCAATGTCAGTTGTTGTTTGATAGTTGGCAAGTTAGAGAGCAGTTTCTAATAATTTGCTTATTCATCAGTCCCAACTTCATATGTTAGGCCTATGTGAAGTCCCTTTGTGCCATGATAATGTTTATCAAAACATACATGACAAATGTTAGTTTGCAATCCAGAAGATGCATCAATAGCAATAGCATTTAGCATTTAGACTTATATACCGCTTCACAGTGCCCAGTGAGATTTGAACTGCCAAATTGCAGGCAGCTGGCAGGCAGCAGAAGTAGCCTGCAGTACTGCATTCTAACCACTGTGCCGCCGTGGCTCTAATTTCTGTCCATTTCCGTTTGCAGCTATACAAGATGTGTCTGCATCAGGATCATAACCATAATCATAAGTTTATTTGTCAAGCATATATAAGATAACAGGTAAAAGTATAAACATAACTTGAATACATGAAAAGAGTAAGTAAAAAGGAATATTGGTGGCTCAGCAGACTGAAAGCATTGTGATTAACACCAGCTGTCTGCAATTACTGTAAGTTCAAATCTCACCAAGGAGACTCAGGTTGACTCAGACTTCCATCCTTTCTAAGGTAGGTAAATTGAGGACCCAGTTTGTGGGGGCAATAAGCTGACTTTGTATAAATATACAAAAGTATGAAGGCTATTGCTTAACGCATTGTAAGCTTCCCTGAGTCTCCGGAGAAGGGCGGCATATAAATCAAATTAAAAAAAAAAATTAGGACAGGGATGGTAGGCCCTTTTTCATCTGGTTAAAATGAGCTTTAGACGTTCTTTAAACCCCCAGAAGAGGGTTTAAAAGTATTAGTTGAGGTTGCTAAAAAGTGTCATGAGAAACCACAAAGCATTGCACTGAAATAAATCGTGTGGCTTCTTTGCCTTACTTCTTGACTAGGATAGCGTGGCTGGAAGCAGAATAATCAAGACCATCAGGAAGGTAGTCTCTTTTCAGAAGTATGGATCAGAGGTGGGATTCAAATAATTTAACAACCGGTTCTCTGCCCTAATGATTTCTTCCAACAACCAGCTCACCAAACTGCTCAGATAGTTAACAACCGGTTCTCCCAAAGTGGTGCGAACTGGCTGAATCCCACCACTCGTATGGATGTGTTGAGGAACAAAGAATGGCTCAGAGATTAGTTCCAACATCTCAGGAGGTTCTGCCACAAAGAAGAGGGAGTCAATCTATTCTCCAAAGCACCTAAAGGCAGAACAAAAAGGAATGGATGAGAACAAATCAAGGAGAGAAGCAACTTAGAACTAAGGAGAACTTTCCTAACAGTTAGAACAATTAATCAGTGGAACAACTTGCCTTCAGAAGTTGTGAATGTTCCAACATTGGAAGTTTTTAAGAAGTGGGCAGCCATTTGTTGGAAAAGCTGTAAGATCTCTTGCTTCTGTAGGGGGTTGGACTAGAAAACCTCCAAGTCTCTTCCAACTCTATTATTTTATTGCATTTTCTCTTTATATCTTCCAAATTTGTGTTTGAATACACTTTGGCCCTTACAATGTTTATTTTGGATTACTGCTTAACTCTATTATCCACCCAGCATTGGCTTTTCTGAATGTTTCCAAGATGTATTTTGCTGACTCATGGACTTTTCTTGTTTTTGCTTGCAGCAGATTCCAAATTAACTTATTGCAGAAGAGTGACCATTAAGCGAGAGGGAAATTGCCTTACTTGTGTGTGCCTTAGCAACAGTGCTTTTACTCTCTTGTTGCCATAACAACTGCAGCACACACATCAAGGTCACCAAACCCACTTTCCTTTCAGCCTGCAGCTATATCGGATGGATTTTCGGCGTGTGCTTCTTTTTATTCTCGATTGCGTGAAGGATGAGTTGTTACAAGAAACAACTTTTCACCTACCAGGTAAACAAGCACAGGAAGATGATGGTGTACTATAACAGCTCTTATAACATGATGTGGATGGAGCTAGCTTTTGCCTGGAAAATAGCCAGAGTAGGAAATTTCAATTTCCTTTTTTTCTGTATGAAAATATATTATATATATATATATATATATATATATATATATATATATATATATATATATATATATATATATATATATATATATATATATATATACACATACATACATACATACATACATACATACATACATACATACATACATACATATATAATATTATATATATATTATATATATATATATATATATATATATATATATATACTTTGCTGCAGGTCTGCTGGCTGCCAGAAAAAGAAAAAGAAAAAAGAAAAGAAAAAAAAAAGCCCAAAAACTAGTGAATTGTGATTTCACTGAACTAGGGCTGCATAATATCTTGGTTTACATAGGTAGAACCTGGCTAAAGAGACATACGCATAAAACCTACGAAATATATATATATATATTGTTTTTCTATCGAGGCACCTGGTCTACCTCAATGTGGGAGGGAGCATACTGCTTAACATGCAGACAGCCCAAGTTTGAATCCAAATAAGGGTATGGCTAGCTGATGAGAACTAAATAGCTTGAAATAGATCTGTATATGTATATGTATATGTATGTATGTAGGTCTTTGGTTATTCGGGTTTTCTCCTGCGTAAAATTAGTACTTACTTCCAATTTTACGTGGGAGAAAACCTGAATAACAAAGACCTACATACAAATACCTGAGAAAACCTCAGAAAACAAATTATATATATATATATATATATATATATATATATGTGTGTGTGTGTGTGTGTGTGTGTGTGTGTGTGTGTGTGCGCATTATTGTTTCAGCCAGGGTTTTTCCTACGTAAATCAAGATGTTTATATAGCCATAGTCCAGTTAAATCCCAATTCACTATTTTCTAGGCTTTATCAGACATTAACCAGCATTTTGCTATCTGTTGTAAGACTTAAGGGAGACTAATATAGAGCTATTTCTGACTTATTTGTCTTCATCAGTTAGCCACACCCTCATCTTATGACTCCTCCCTGTAACGGTCAAATACTTATTCTGTTCTTTTTTCGTAGGTCTATATGTGCATTATTGTTTCAGCCAGGGTTTTTCCTATGTAAATATATATATATTTACACACACACATACATACATATACATATATATATATACATATACATACACGCACATACACACACACACAATCTGTATACCCACAGAGATAAAATATAGACAGACAAACACAGACAGAAAAAGACAAATACACACAAATACAATACAGAGGTGGAATACAATTTGCAATCCATGCCAAAAATGATTACTATAATTATCACTTCCAATCGAAAGTCATAACATTTTTCTTTGTAGAGCAAAACTAAGGGAGGGAACATTACAAATTGCACCACATTCTGTGTATTCAGCTGGGAATTTTTTTAGATGCATTGTGCTTACACGATATTGCACTTTAATTCCCGTTGTCTGCCTACAGTGAGATGGATTGACGTATAAATCAGTATGCATAAACAAAAATAAAGTAATCTGATTCCTAAATTCTTATGCATTTATTATGTCTGCGGCCTTCAGGAATGTCCTTTCCAACACCCTATATAATCCCCAAGAAGAATCTAATCATTTGGGGTATAGAATCCATCATTTCAAAATATCACATGACTCTTCTGTTTCATTCAAACATTCAAACATTCATTCACTCTAGAGAAAAATTTAAAAGATATGCCCAGCACCTTTTTGATTACTGATAAGGCAGTTTTCCAATAACAAGGAGCGACTGAAATTCAGGACTATGCTGAATTACAACTCAATATTTAATTAAATTGCCAGATAAATATTGCTATCCCACCTTTTTAAAAGTTTCTCAAAAATGGTTCATGGTAAAAAAAAAAAAAAAAGGTAATGACAAGATTTTCCCAGAAGAATTAGAGAAAGTATGCCAAAATATTTAAGCCTCGTTGTGAGATAAGAAGTTTGTGGATGACATACAGTCAAAAGGGAAGGTATAAGACGGTTGAAGATGTCTGGTGGGATATGAGGGAGATTTTTCTCCTTCATTCAGGCACAATAATACTAAAATTCACTTGACGAAATTAAGGGCTAATTAAATAAGAATTCTCTTTCAGTTGTTAAGTGTTCTATGGATTTCCATCATCATCACCAAATTTTCACCATGAATGGTAAAACTTTTGTCCCATCAAGTCTCCTCCATGTTGGTGCTATAGTTCACCAAATTTTCAGAATAGCTTCTTGACATACCTTGAATATCTTATTTCAATTACCTTTCAATTACATTTTGAAAGAAAGCTGGGGAGAAATTCATCAAACAAGGGACTTCAGTGGATTGTATCTCAAGCTTTCTTTGCTTAAAAAGTTACTTACACCAAGTGTTTTGAACCTCATGTGAGTACAGCACCTATCCTTTATTCCAGGGATAAAATCCAGCAGATTCTGACAGGTTCCGGAGAACCAGTAGCGGAAATTTTGAGTAGTTCGGAGAACCGGCAAATACCACCTCTGGCTGGCCCCAGAATGGGCTGGGAATGGAGATTTTGCAATATCCTTCCCCCAGGAGTGGGGTGGAAATGGAGATTTTGCAGTATCCTTCCCCTGCACGCCCACCAAGCCACACCCACCAAGCCCACCAAGCTACGCCCACAGAACCAGTAGTAAAAAAAAAATGAATTTCACCACTGCTTTATTCATCCCTATCAGGTTTTTTAGAAAACTGGGGGGGGGGGGGTGAACTGCTTTAATGAATTGCAGAGAGGTGTTGTGCTCCCATGAAAATTCAAAGCATTTCTTCTGAATAATTTTTGGAGTGTCCATAGCCCTAATTGTTTCTCCAAATTTCTTGGGGGTGGGGGGAAGAAAATTTCTACAGTTGCTTAAAGATTTTCCTTAGAAGAGGTAGTAGCACTGCTACTGAAAAAGTCTAGGAAGAATCCCTTAGAATATTATTCCTGGGAAATTACTTAAAGCTACAGACCAACTCCCAAAGTATATAATGAAAAAAATAAGACTTTCACAAACATCTGTTAGTCAAATAGGTAAGAACATCATACTCATACATTCTCTCCAATCTTTTGCCTCTGAAAGTAATTTTTGTTTTGTAAAATTCAGTGAGAAATGTAAAAAAAAAAAATTCAGGAGGATATCTTTGCTTAGCATTATTTAAGACTTGATCATTTTTATTTTTATTAATTTATTATATTTATAGAGTTGCCCATCTCACAAACAAGTGAACCTGGACAGCATACAACAAGTTAAAAAACAAGATGTCCCAAAGGTCCTTTTTTCAAAAGGCAATTGGACTTTTCTTTGTTTTTTTTCCTTGAAGACTTTTCAATTCTCATCCAAGAAGCTTCCTCAGTTCTGAATGGTAGTAGTACTAGAAGATTTATTTGATGTCAATGAAGATATAAAACCTGTACTTTTAAAAACATTGTAATTCAAATAAAACCAGTATATTTCAATGTATACGTATAGAATAGAATAACAGAGTTGGAAGGGACCTTGGAGGTTTTCTAGTCCAACCCCCTGCTTAGGTAGGAAACCCTACATCATTGCAGACAAATGGTTATCCAACATCTTCTTAAAAATGTCCAGTGTTGGAGCATTCACAATGTCTGGAGGCAAGTTGTTCCACTGATTAGTTGTTCTAACTGTCATGAAATTTCTCCTTAGTTCTAAGTTGCTTCTCTCCTTGATTAGTTTCCACCCATTGCTTCTTGTCCTACCATCAAGTGCTTTGGAGTATTGTATAATTTGTATAATTATGTTAATATTATTTTGTACATTTCGCTTTTCACCCAAGAAGCCTCTTCAGTTCTGAATGGTGGGGAGGGCGGGGGAATAGAAGAATTTATATTTCTTGCAGTCATCTGGTCAATAGCACTCTCTCTCTCTGAGAATTGAGAGTCTCAGAGAGAGTCCTAATGACCAGATGACTGCATGGATATAAATCCTTCTATTCCCCTCCCCCTCCCTATTCAGAACTGAAGACGCTTCTTGGGTGAAAAGTGAAATGTACAAAATAATATTAACATAATTATACATATACATTGAAATATACTGGTTTTATTTGAATTACAATGTTTTAAAAAGTACAGGTTTTATATGTTCGTTGACATCAAATAAATCTGCTACTAGTCCAAAGTAAATTATTTTCTTTCTCAAAGAGGCAGAGAGAGAGAGAGAGAGAGAGAAGGATGAAAAGAAAATATAAGAAACAGTGAATTTAATGTCCTTGGTATATTAGTCCCCAATTCTTTTCTGTACATTGGATAATATTGCTTGCCTTAAAAGTGTATGAGATGTGTACATACAGGTAGTTCTTGCTTTACAGTGGCAGTTGGGGCCAGAATTTTCATTGCTAAGGGAAGCTGTTTGTAAAATGTAATTTCACATGAACCTGTTGCTTAGTGACAGCAATCCTGACAGTCTCGGTTACCATTGTAAGCCAAGGACTGAGTGTGCAGGTTGTCATCATCATGTGATCGTAATTTCCATTTTCCTGCCAGCTTCCTCATTTACTTTGCATGTCATGTGATTGCAGGGATGTTGCAGTGACCGGAATGGCAAGTACTCATCATAAATACCTTTCATTTAGTGCTGTTGTAACTTTGAGTAGTCACTGAATGAAAGGTTGTAACCCGAGGACTACCTATACATAGGCATGCAAAACATTGCAATACAGTTTCAGCCATATTTTAACTTCACTGTTATGTAATCTAGTGATACTAGTAAAATTAGTATCTGCCAATAATAATAATAATAATAATAATAATAATAATAATAATAATAATAAATATCATCTTCCCCGATGATACCTTAACAGTTCCTAGGTCCTTGGTTAGGACTCGAGCTGCTGAGCTATTAACCAGCCTCAAAGGCTGTGAATCTCACTAAAGATTAAATAAAATAATAATAATAATAATAATAATAATAATAATAATAATAATAATAATAGTAATAGTAAAGGCTATTCAGTTAAAGGTTTATATGGCTCTTCAAACATTGGTTTGAAGATTGGTTGAAATATTCTCACTTCTCTGCAAAAATGAGATGGGCAATTTTTTAATTACTATACATGAAGTGTATTTTCTAACCAGATAATTTTATCAGGTACCTCTCATTTGGCTTTCTGTTTCTGAGGCGTCCTTTTGAAGATGAGATTGTCACCCCCTTCCTTATTTTGGGGCTGTATATTAGAAATCATTTTAATGAAATGTAAGGATATGGTTCCTGCATAAAAAAAAAAAAAGACTTCAAAAGCTATTAGTGCATTTTACTTCAGGGATTTCTTTGAAGTCTGAAGGTGTTTCCATTCCTAAAACAGCATTTTGCAGATTAATAATGACTGACTATTGTTTGGAGAAGCAGCTAAAAGTAACAGGCTATCTCTCTGCATAGGAATTTCGAGTTGGAGGCCATTATGCATGTGATACCACTGTGGCTCCTATTGGTTCATCAGTGGCTTACGTCGCCAAGTTCTTTGGCAACACATTTTTGTCATTTGAACACTCTTCTATCACTGGATTTACAACTGATGAGAAGCCAGATAAGCTTATGGCACATACAAGACTGAAACTACTATTTAAAGCAGGATTGTTCAACCCTGGCAACTTTAAATTGCTTTAAACTTTACAATTGCTACCAACCTGCCTTCCATTGAGGACCTGTATACTGCACGAGTCAAAAAGAGGGCTGTGAAAATATTTACAGACCCCTCACATCCTGGACATAAACTGTTTCAACTCCTACCCTCAAAATGACGCTATAGAGCACTGCATACCAGAACAGCTAGACACAAGAACAGTTTTTTCCCAGACGCCATCACTCTGCTAAACAAATAATTCCTTCAACACTGTCAAACTAGTTACTAAGTCTGCACTACTATTAATCTTCTCATCGTTCCCATCACCCATCTCCTTCCACTTATGATTGTATGACTTAACTTTGTTGCTTGTTTCCTTACGATTTATATTGATATTGTTTCCTGATTACTTATTTGTACCCTATAACTATCATTAAGTGTTGTAGTTTATGATTCTTTATGAATGTATCTTTTCTTTTATGTACACTGAGAGCGTATGCACCAAGACAAATTCCTTGGCCAATAAAAAAATAAATTCTATTCTATTCTATTCTATTCTATTCTATTCTATTAAGACCTGTAGACTTCACCTCCCAGAATTCCCCAGATAGCCATATTGCCTGAGGAATTCTGGGAGTTGAAGTCCACAAAAAGGAAAACTGAGAAGCCATGGGAAGGCTGGGAAAGAAACCAGGAGAGAGCAGATATAAACATTCAAGAACTGGTGGAGGAGTTCAGTTCATAGTCATATCTCATATAAAGCAACTTAGTCCAGTTGGGGATAAATGCAGGAAGAAGTGTTTCAAATCATTCAAAGGCCTTCACCTTCATTTAACTGACTATAAATGAGGACTGGAAATTTCTCTTACAGTATCCAAGGTTCCTTAATTATGAGAGACTATCATTAAAGAGGCCTTTCTGAAACTATTAGAATCTGTCTAGTTCATGCATCCTAGATGTTCTTCAGTTTTGAGAGGGCTGGCAGGAGGAATATCAATATTTGCTGATTCTTATCTGTCCATTTGAATTTTTATTTGCACACTTTTGGAATTCATTGTCTAAATGATTTCAGATTTAGGAATTAATTTGGGGCAGCAAATTTGGTTATGGAAGATTATTGATATTCAGTTAGCCAATATGCTTTTAGACCCCTCCTCTCCTCCCCTCCCCTCCTCCTTCCCTCCCCTTTCTCAGTGATTTAATCTCTTATGTCACCATAATTTCTTTTTCAATTTCATGAGGCCATAGTATCTAAGAACAGTAATGGTCTCAGATGAATGAAAACAAATTGGGACTGACTCCAATAAGATGGAAATATTTTGGAGTGAATGGTGTTCAACCTTTCCTAGATAGAGTTATTGCAAAAATCAGATTCTATGATAGTTATTAATCTCTCTCAACCCTTGAGGGATCAAACAACCTCTTTGACTTTGGCTGATGTACCAACTGTGACCCGCTTGATAGAGACCACTTATCCAAAGTCACTCATGCTCTGATCTTCTTTAGGCTATGTGTCTTAGCTGCCTGTTGGACATAAATCAAGAACATGTGCTGAATATAGCATCTGTCAGCCTTAGAAACCAAGGCAACTGATTTGGAAAAGCCGAGTAGTTGGTTAATGAAGTCTTCGAGGAGTTGATAGTAATAGCCCCCCTCCTTTATGTAGGTGACAGCATGCATTTTGACAGCTGGACTCTGTGTGGACAATTTCTCTGTTTCACAGCTTGAATCTGCTCAATATGTGAATATTCCTTGTCTCTAACAGGATGCTTGCAGAAATTCCAGTTGTTTGTTAATTTTATGTTCAGTTTTTATCCTGCTTCTCTTTGAAGAGCTCAGGTCAGATTATACTGGTCTCTCCCTTCATTTTATCTGTACAACAGAAATTTAGTACAAAACCCCTGTCCAAACCAACCCACTCTGATGCAGCCCCATTGGTGCTAAGCAATCGATATCATGAACTCTCATTAGAAGAAAACATGCAGACACATAGAAAAGAAGCACCATCAAATGTCCCTAAAAAAGTAGCACCATCAAATGATACTGTGATAGAGAGAAAAACACCCCAAACCTCCCTAGGAAAAAAAAAAGGTGAGTGTTGGTGATAGAAGATTCAGTTCTCAAGGGAACAGAACCTGCCGTCTGTAGACCAGACAGTCAATCCAGAGATGTATGTTATCTCCCTGGAGCTAAAATCAAAGATGTGGCTGAGAACCTAACCAAAATAATAAAACCCACAGACTACTCTCCCTTTCTACTACCACATGTAGGGACAAATAACACACACACACAAAAGGACTTGAAAACAAGATTGACTGATTAAGAGCAGCTAGGCAAGAAAGTCAATGACTTAGGCATACAAGTAGTTTTTTCATCTATACTGCCAACGAAAGGACAACATCCAGTAAGAGAACAAAGAATTGTAGAAGTGAACCACTGGCTAAAGGGTTGGTGTCGCCAAAAAAACTTTGGATTCTTGGACCATGGTCTGTACTACCTCCAAGATGGGCTTTTGGCAAGGGATGGGTTGCACCTCACAAAGACTGGGAAGAATGTTTTCAGAAAACGATTGGCTCAACTTATCAGAAGGGCTTTAAACTAAAATTGAGGGGGGAGGGTGACCAGTCTTTAGAATCTCCAGGACCTAATTCCAAGCAAAAACCCCTAGAAAGCAAGGCAAATAATGAAGTAAGGAGGGATGGGAAGGAAGACAAACTCAAACACCAAATAGAAGACATAGGAAGCATACCCAGAGTCAGGCATAAAGATCCCAAGTGCCCATATACAAATGCACAAAGTCTGGGGAACAAACAGGGTAAACTTGAACTATTAATACACGAAGGTAGTTACAACATAGTTGGAATAACAGAAACTTGGTGGGATGAAACCCACGACTGGAACATACTGATAGAAGGATACAAACTCTTCAAAAAACCCAGACCCCATAAAAGAGGAGGTGGAGTTGCACTGTATGTAAAGGACCACTATATTGCTACAGAATTGTACAGAAACCAAAGCCGAAAACCTTCCAGAATGCATATGAGTCAACATAAAAGAAAAAAAGAATGACAGAGCCATAAGTGTATACTATAGGACACCCAATCAAGCAGAAAAAAATAGATATCCTTTTTGCCAACCAGCTAACAAACATATGTAGGAAAAACATTACAGTAGTAATGGGGGACTTCAACTACCCTGATATCAATTGGAAAACTAATTCTTCACCAAGTGAGAAATCAAATAGGTTCCTAACCAACCTACATGACAACTTTGTTGTCCAAAAGGTAGAGGAGGGAACTAAAGGGACAACCATACTAGACTTAATATTTACATACAGAGAAGAAGTGATAGAGGGAGTTGAAACTGCAGGAACCCTGGGTGAGAGTGACCATGTCATACTAGAATTCAACATAATGCAAACACAAGCAATAGAGCATAATGATACCAGAGTCTTAGATTTTAAAAGAGATGATTTTAATAAACTCAGAGAGAACTTGGGAAAGATTCCTTAAATGAAAATCCTAAAGGGGAAAGCAACTCAAGAATCTTGGGAAGCCCAGGCCAGCACAATACCGCTGAGAAAGAAAAACAAGAAATCCAAGAAGAAACCAGCATGGCTGCACAAAGATCTTTCAACCACCTAGATCAGGGGTGTCAAACTCCTGGCCCATGGGCCAGATGCATCATGCGCTGGTCATGCCCCCACCCAATTTAGTGAAGGGGGAAAAGTCGCAATATGTCACATGATGCTACCATAACAATGTGAGTTTGACACCCCTGGCCTAGATGAACATCTCAGCATTATACTATGCTTCTTCTCTATGCACTTCCATTACTGAAAACAAATTTCGGGTTCGAGTACATGCACAGAGATGCTTTGTTCCTCAGTTCTCAATCCACTGTTTTAAACTACCTTCCACTCTACGGCCTCTTACATGTAGTCCTCAACTTGCAACCATAATTGAATGCAACATTTCTGTTGCTAAGCAAGACAATTGTTGAGTGAGTTTTGCTCCATTTTACAACCTTTCTTGCCACAGTTGTGAAGTGAATATCTGCTGTTGTTAAATTAGTAATAAATTTAATAAATTATATTTATATATATATTATATATATATATAATATATAAATTATTTATAATTTAATTATAAAAAATTAATTTTTTTAATTATAAAAAATGTTGTGTCAGAAGGTCACAAAAGGGGATCACATGATCCTCGGACACTGCAACCATCATAAATATGAACCAGTTGCCAAGCGTCTGAATTTGGATCATATGACCATGGGGATGCTGCAACGGTCGTAAGTGTGAAAAACAGTCCTAAGTCACATTTTTCAGTGCCGTTGTATGTTCAATCGCTAAACGAATGGTTATACGTTGAGGACTACCTGTATTGAAAACTGAAATACATAACCATAAATGTAAATTGCTATTTATCTCTGAGTATAAATGCTATTTATCTCTATTTAGAGACGAAAGCAAAATATTTTTGGTACAAGGAACATCTGTATTATCTCATGAAAAAAGGAACTGAAATGCCACCAATAACACTATGTTAAAACTGATGCCTCAACGTTTCTTGGGCTATCATTGCTAAGATGAAAATTATAAAGATATTTAAATGTCATATACATTCGCCACAATCCATAACTTTGTAATGAACTCACACAAAACTAGGGACTGGTAGGGATGCAAAATTTAATATCGTTGCGTGGGGTTGTTTTTTAAAAGGATATTCTCTTGCATTTCTCAAAGGTACCAAAGCTGAGACAAAACAGCTATTGAACATAGAACATGAATAACAGAGTTGGGAGGGATCTTGGAGGTCTTCCTGCTTGTGGAGGAAACGCTATTCCAGTGATGGCTAACCTTTTTTGCCGTCGCGTGCCAAAAGTGGGGGAAGTGCAGGGGGGACATGCGTGTGTGTTCCCACGCCCATAATTCAATGCACCCTGTCCATGCACTCCCCCCACTTTTGGCACGCGATGGCACGGTGGACCCAGTAGGCCCATTTTTCGCCCTCCCCAGGTTCCAGAGGCTTTCTAGGAACCTGGGGAGGCTGAAAACGGCCTTCCCCACCATCTCAGAGGCCCTCTGGAGGCCAGAAATGGACCATTTGCCGATTTACAATGGGATCGGAAGGCCCAAAAATCAGTTAGCCGGCGCGGGCATGTGCGCCGCAGCTGAGCTAGGGCAACACTCGTGTGCCCACCGATATGGCTCCGCGTGCCATAGATGGCTGTCCAGTCTCTTCTTAAAGCCTCCAGACAGTGATAGAGCACCCGCAACTTCTGAAGACAAGCTTTTCCACGGATTAATTGTTAGAGAATTTCTCCTTAGTTCTAGGTTGCTTCTCTCCTTGATTAGTTTCCATCCATTGTTGTCTTGCCTTCTGGTGCTTTGGAAAATAAGTTGACTCCGTCATCTTTGTGGCAGCCCCGCAATTATTGCAACAATGCTATCATGTCACCTTTTCAGTAAACCTCTAAGGATCAAGAGACTAAATGCTGTAAGTATTCCCCTGTAAATTTAGATTAAA